TTCCGGATTAATCGGTTCCCCAGTGGATCCGAAAATCAGAATGTCCCTATACCAAAAAAAAGCTTTGTGTACACTTTCGATTCCTTAACTACAAGATCACTTGTGTGGTCCCGTACGATAAAATCTAGCAATGTTAGTCCGTTCGTGAACTTTTGATTTAATTTTGACAAGTTTTGGTCCCATTTTTGTGAAAAATTAAAAGGTTTAAAGATAATTATAACCCCTTAATGCAAAATATAATAATAACAAAAGAATAACTTTTGCTGCGATGCGGTCTCATAGTTAGACAGATTAACCTATTATTTATTTTTCTTTTAAACAAAAAATTACATAGTTTTGTTTTTGAAATGTAACATGTTGATTTATGCTATTTTAACTTGTACATATGCATATTCGTTGTGAAAATATAAATATCGAATTTTTAGGTCTGCGTAACAACAATATCTTACAAAAATATTTTTCACGTGTCATGGCCGATTTTTGTTTTTCTTAAGAATTAATAGGTTAATGATCCTCTCGATCCTTAGTGGAACTACAAATTTTATCATATATTGTAAAATTAATGACTTAACTATGCAAATATCACAATTTTGACTAATTAATATCTCAATTAGTGACCATGTAATGTAAGTTCTATATATATTGACAAAAGAAATTGGGTTAGTAAAACGAGTGACGACCCAACAAGCTCAACACACACACACACATACATATACTCCGGTAAAGCAAATTATTTCCCACCCCAAAAATATCTCATTTATCTCACATGCTGGGCCCATTCAATAATTGCACAACTTGTGGCCCATCCCTTTTAACTTTTATTTATTTATTAATTAATTTTTGCTTCACACTATTATTTAGAAGCTCGATCTGGAAATTTCATAAAAAGATAACTTAGACAAATCACGCTGAACATGAAAATAGATCAAATGAACATGCCATTTTTTTGCCCCTTCTCCACAACCATCCAAAAACACTCCCCAAACCCTAGTCCCATATGGTACATTTTGCCAGCTAATTCAAAGCCCTCATCACAATTTATTTTTATAAAATAGTTATTTATATCCTGTTCCGAAAATCGAATAAATTTTTCACAACCGCCGAACTATAAGATAACATTTTTCACTCTAGAACGTGCGGTAGACATTATGCGATAATTATGCGAAACTTAAAAATGCAAGGACATTCGCGTACTCTTCGCACTTTCTGCGGTATGCGACAATTATACGACTGATGTACGACAATTGTGTCGAACTATTTGCACAATTTGCTTATTTTTTCAGGGCGAAAAAACTAGATTGTTAGCGAACGAGATGGAAAACTTAATGTATATTCACGTTCACGTCGAGCTGTAAAAGAATTTAACTAGCTCATTTCTTTTTTCTCTACATCCATCTATAAAAACCCCTACTTCACATTCACATCTTTCACACCCCCAAACCAAAGGGCCAAAAGCATCCTCAACTCTTACTAGGGGTAACTAAAAACAAATTAAAAAAAAAAAATGGCTCCCACGAAAAACTCTTCATCGATAGCCATTTTCCTAGCGTTAAACCTCGTTTTCTTCACTCTATCGAGCGCGTGCGGGACTTGCCCGACTCCCAAGCCGAAGCCACCGCCCAAGCCGAAATCCGACTGCCCTCCTCCACCCGGGCCGAGCCACGACAAGGCCACTTGCCCGAGGGACACGCTAAAATTAGGCGTGTGCGCGGATTTGCTCGGTGGGTTGATAGACATCACGATCGGGACACCACCGGTAACCCGTGCTGCAGCCTTATCCAAGGGCTGGCCGACCTTGAGGCGGCCGTGTGCTTGTGCACGGCCATCAAGGCTAATGTTTTGGGCATCAACCTTAATGTTCCACTTTCACTTAGCTTGCTCCTTAACGTTTGCTCCAAGGAGGTCCCCAAGGGATTCCAGTGCGCCTAAGAGTATTGGATAACAAAAAAAATAAAAATAAAAAATATGTGTCTACCAAATTAAGTTGTTTTAATTTGTTGCTATTTCAATTCATGGGTTGTTTTGTTTGTCTTGATTTTTATTTGGTTTTATTGAGTTGTATGTTGTTTCTTCTATATATTCGTAGTGACTTGTTGATGGCTGTCTTTTTAAGGTGTGTGAGTAATTTCAAATTGGGATTTTGGAGTTTTATTTTTGTTCACTTATTATTTATATATTTAAATCGGAAAATATATGTCTCTCTATCATAATTACATTAACGTTTAGTGAGGCAATTAAATTGATCAGGCTTAATTAACACATTAATTTAGAAGTAAAATTATTTTGTTTTCTGTTATACTTGAAGATAATTAGGTCCGACACAATTTTATTTTATTTTTATTTTATTTTTTCAATTTTTTATCAAATTCTTATCTAAAATTCCTAATCAATTTTAGTTTTAACGATAATTATGTACAATATATTAAATGGACGGACGATAAAATATCGGCAGAGTCGAATTTTATTTGATACCTTTTCAATGGGATCTTTATGGAAAAGAATTGTACAGTAGTGATTACATCATGTATTATGTACACTTTTTTTTGTACAATGAAAGGAGGCAAAAGCCTAGAACCATTAGATAGATATGTGCCGTGGATATGCAACGCCAATGAGGTCATGCTGTAGCCACGGTTTGACTTCTAACGGTGGAACAGAAAGCCGATGACAACCACTGGGACCATGATGGCCGAGAGCCGCCAAGCAGTCAGCCGCGAAGTTAGCTTCGCGAAAGCAATGAGTCACTGTAACTTCCCACTCACGGGAGATTAACTCCCGAATAGCCCGAACCAATGAACTATGTCCTCCCGGTTCCAACGAGTCCCCATTTGCCAAACCCACCACACTTTTATTATCTACTTCAACAATGACTTTGCGGTGCCCCAAATCCCAAGCGAGAAGCAGCCCTTGGAAGAGACCCCAAAGCTCTGCCCCTGTAATCGAACAGTACCCGATGTTCATCGCAAAGCCGCCAAGCCAACGGCCACCACCATCGCGAACTAAGCCGCCGGCTGTAGCCATCCCACTAGAAGAGATAAAGGACCCATCCGTATTAACTTTGACAGTGCCATCAATAGGAGCTTCCCAACGAATGTAGCGCATACCACGTGCCACGCCTAGGCTTCTCATATTTTGCTCAGTCGAGGTGACTGTTCGAATGCCAAGGGCCATAGTCCGTGCTTCCCGAATTTTCTTTAATTTGTGAGTATGTATATATTCACTATTTTTTTAACTTATTGTTCATTTATTAATTAATTGAACTATCTTGTTAAAAATATAAAATTTATCTTAGTATACTATTGATGGAGACGAGGCCGCGTTAATGTTCTTGCAGAAATATAACCGTTTGCGTGTCTAGCACATTTATTTTATTGCTTTATTTTCCTTTTGGGTCTATTTATCTTTAGTGGTTGCAATTGTGTTATTTTATTAGTATGGGGGTGTTTCTTTAATTATTAGGATTTATCGTGCTTTAGTGGAGTTAGTGGAAACTCCTTATTTATGTACTGCGAACAGAAGAGAAAAGACAGTTTATCGATTGAAATAAAATTATCTGTTCTCTCTTGAGATTGTTCTTTCTTTTTCGTATACATCCTACTACAAACTTATGCCTTTAACTAGTCCAATTTATTAAGGAATCATGAGTGGTAATAGCTTTCTTCAATTGAACAAGGCCAAAAATTTTAACTCCAGAAACACATATGATGATACCAACAAATATTGATATTTCATGTTAGATTGCGTACCACAAAATATTGTTGTTTGGTGTTAAATTGCCTATTATTAGACATAATAATTTCTGAATATATATATAGACTTATATTATAAAATATTATAATATATATTCTATTTTAAAATATGATACTGGAATATGGAGTTATATTACACTATAAAAAAAAAACTCTTACATTCAAACGGAAATTTTCCATTGGAATAACTATTCCAACGGATATTCCTACGTATAAAAATTCGTGGGAAAAACGGCCGTTAGAATAGCTAAAATCCAACGGAAAATCCTATGAAAATAAATTCCAACAACTATTCCAACGGAAAAAATCCGTTGGAATTCCTCAACCCATCCAACACTTATTCCAACATAGAATTATGTTTGTTGGAATATTCATTGGAATTTTCAACAGAAATTTTTGCCGTTGGAATTGTTCGTTGAAATTGAAGTGTTTTCTTGTTATATTTATTAGAAGAGTCTGGCTCACTAACCATATAATCAGCCCTTCTAATATTATTATGAAGGTTGGATTGGTTTAAGGAAGGAAAATAGACCCAAAAATTCAATGGATCCATATATTTTTCACCCATACCTAAGAAATAAAGTGCTAATGGTTCGAATAACCATCGTATATTAATTGCATAACTATCGGATTTCATCGCACTATGTCTTTCCATTTTGACTTTTTTTTCATTCAAAAAGTGCGAAGGGTTCTACAAATGTCTTACCATTTTGAACTTGCGCAACACATCAAACAATGTGGCATATTTTTGCATGTTGTCTTGCCACTTTTTGCGGTGAAAAAGTTAACTTTATGAGATATGAAAAACTTAATACATTTCTATAGTGAGGTGAAAAATACTAATTAATCTTCACAGAAAAATGTTACAGTCCCGTTACGGAATAAATTCATAACCGTTGTGAATAATTGATTTAACGGTTACAGACCCGACGAAATAGTTCAGTAACGAGACCGTAGAATCCCATTATTCACAAATTCAATCCCGAATATTCCAAGACTAGCTAGATTGAAACTCGAAAGTTAATATTAGAAAAAATAAATAATAAAAAAAAAAAAACTTTATTCCCACTTATTGCACAATTTGGTATTCATGATTACCAGATTATTATTAGCAGTTACCAAGGAAAGAAACCAAAAAAACGACCACCGTGCAATCATTACATGAAATTAACAACACAGAAACCAAAACACATGCACACACACACACACACACAAAAACAAACACACATGCATGCAACTATTGCACATATTCTAAAGCGGCGGACAAACGAAACCGGGCGGCGGAGTCAGCCCGCACGTCGCCAGCACCGAAAGCGCCAGCGGCAGGAAAATGTTCAGATTCAAAAGCTTAAGCCTTATTGTCGTGCACAGGCAAATGGCGGCCTCCAGCTCGAGCAGCCCTTGCAGCACCGGACAGCATATGTTCTCGACCGGATTCCCGATCCCGATGTGGACTAGACCTCCGAGCACGTCCAGGCACAGCCCCAGCTTCAGCGCGTCTATTGGACATGTGGCGGCCGCCGGAGGAGGGCTGATCCCCGGCCTACCGCCACCTCCGCCGCCGGGAGGAGTGTAGGGTGGGTAGGAACAGGACGGTGGCGGTCTGGTGATTGGCGGAAGTATGCCCGGCGGGTTGATGATGGGCGGGATGATTCCGGGAGGGTTTGTTACGGGCGGGGAAGGGATTATTGGCGGCAGGATGACCGGAGGGTTGACTATTGGTGGAAGGATTCTCGGCGGAGGGTTCACAATGGGCGGGAGGATTCTTGGTGGGAGGATTCTGGGTGGAGGTTTGACTATGGGCGGTAGAACTCTCGGTGGAGGTTTGACTATTGGGGGCAGGACTCTGGGTGGAGGGTTGACTATGGGTGGTAGGACTCTCGGTGGAGGTTTTACTATGGGTGGCAGGACTCTTGGTGGCGGGCGACCGCCGCCGCCACCACCGCCGCCACCGTGGTGGGGTGGTGGGTGAGGACTGGGGCTGGATGGTGGGCGGTGGCGGGGAGTGGGTGGCATGGGGCGGCCGTAGGGCGGGTAAGGCGGCGGGCAGTTGGCTGCGTAGGCTGGCGGCAGGGCCGTGAGCATGGACAGCATGCAGACCAGGAAAGCTGCTGTGATTTTGTTACCCGTGGCCATGGCTAAGGGTTTGGCCTTCGGGTAAAGCGAAAGTTTTCTTTTTTTTTTTGGGTGTTTGGACGAGGATTGTGATAGTTGATTTTATAGCACATTTGAGGGCATGCGAGTTAATTGCAATATTGGCTATTTATCTCGCGTAATATTTTTCTATGTTGATCCTAATTTTAACTTAGAATTAATTTCAATATGTATAACTGCACAAAAATTCTACTTATCGTTTAATGATTAGACGGTCATATTTTATTTATTAAAAAAAGTATTGTGATGATATTATATGTCATATTTTATTTATAAAGTTTGACACTATTTGGGTAGATCCGTTAAACGAAACGAGCTACGAGCTGTGCTAGTGAGCTCGAGAAAACTCGTTAAGACTCGAAAAAAAAGAAGTTTATATCATTTTTTATTGTTCAACTCGATAAAACAAGTGCTCGACTTGTTAAGACTAATATATATGAAATGAATTGAAATCGTCTCGAATTGTCAAGGTTCGAACTCTAGTACTTACCATGATGATCTCAAGCTCAATTAGCCTAATTTATACCCCTACATTTAGATATCAAAGCATTTAATGCTTACGTCCTAATATACAAATCATGACGAAATTCATGAATTGAGAGGATATGCAACTACTGTTTCGACGATGAAATCGATACTGCTTTAATAAGGAGAAATATAGTGATGTTAATATATGGCGGGGAAGGGCATAAATGAGAATTTCACAAGGGGAGGGGTGGGTGATGAAATATATATGTTGGACGACAACTGGGAATTTTGTTTCTTTGTTGGTCCCTTGCTAACTTCAATACGAGTCCGTGACCTGTAAATATCAATCCGTGAAGATGATCTCTTCAATTTCAGAACACTGCATTATTTCAGAACACGTCATTATTCTAGGTGATTCATTTAATGTAGAAGATCCCGTGGTTTATTAAGTATGTTCAATTATGAAGATAGCCAAAAATAAGAAAAAGAGGCGTCAACCCTTCTCCAACAAATAAAGAGACGATTTGGATAATATATATAAACACATTGGAAGTCATAGACTCAGAACATCTCCAACCATAAGCATGAATTGTAGTGCAGTGGTATCATAAATAATTATTATATGAAACATTTTCTATTCAATATTGATTGGATTTGTTTTGATGAAAACCATTAAGATTATCCTTATCTGTGTGTTTTATTTTAAATAGTTGAAATGTTTTATCTTGTCAAATTGTTAATTTATTACGCTTCCGCACAGGGACGGATCTACATTGTAGATAGGGGCCCCCTCCAAACTTTTAATTTTCTTGTTAATAAAATGTTTATTCAACTTATAAATTATATCCATCCCCAAAATTATTACAAGGTATTATATTCTTTGTTAACTAATTAATTTCAATACATAAATTTGATTATTTGTAAGTACTCTTTCTACAATATTTTATAATATATATATATATATATTAGTATGATACACATATATTACACGGTTGCTTGAAAAAATATTTTTATAACAAAAAATTAGTACTTAACATTATCAATATTGTTAGAATATCACTTGTGAGTTGTCTCACATTCATAAAATTTTGATCCCTTGCCCACGGTGGGCAGTGCCCACCACTTTGTTTTATATGAAAAACGTATTTTGAGAATACGTTTTTCAATTAAAATTAATTGAAAAACGTATTCTCAGAATACGTTTTTCATATAAAACAAAGTGGTGGACACTGCCCACCGTGGGCAGGTGAGCGGAACTACACATTCATATATGGAAAATAGACTCACCTTATAAGTCTAATGAGTTACTCCTCCTTCCACCAATAGATTTTGAGATGGAACCCTACTTGGGCTTCATATGGACTTTCCCCACTTATGGTGCGCTTCATGTTTGTGGGCTCGCACCCATTTTCCTCCAATTTTTTTCATGGTATCAGAGTCGGTTCTATTGGTGACCGTGCGATAACGTACCGTCACCCAGCCCAGTTGGGCTTAGGCTTCCAAATGACTCGCAAGTGAGGGAGCGTGTTAGACTATCACTTGTGAGTTGGGTTTGAGCTTCCGAATGACTCACAAGTGAAGGGAGCGTGTTAGAGCGAGCACCCACAATGTTTTGAGTCTCTTACAAAAATATTATATGTCATGTATGAAAGAGTCTTAGTCTATTAAAAAAATATTTTCCAATGCAATTAAAAGTAGACTATGTCTAACTTATGTGGAAATCAAAAAATGAGACTTAGTCTACACTTAGGTCTATTTTGGACTCAAATACAAACCTAATTTAATTTTTCTTTTAATATAGAAAATATTTTAGAGCATTTTTATTGGTTGACAAATATTCTAGACCTAATATTTTGTTTTTGCACTGGATGACTTTTGATTTTTTTTTACTTGGGTTTGTCCATGTCATTAAAGACTTAAGTCCATTTATATGCCACATATGTAAAATTGAACCCAGTGCATTGAGGATGCTCTTAGAATATCACTTGTGAGTTGTCCACATCGTTCATACATAGAAAATAGACTCACCTTATGAGTCTAATGGGCTACTTCTCCTTCCACTTGACCTTCATATAGGCTTTCCCTGCTTATGGTGCGATTCATGTTAGGGGGCCCCCATCCGTTTCCCCCCAATTTCTTACAAATGTTCTTATGGTTAAATTATAAAGATAATTGTAGAACAGATAACTATAGAGTATTTACTATTTATAATGACACACTTTTGTGAATTATAATTAATAATTTTAATATCTCAAATATGATATTTATTTAGTATTTTATTTTTAATATCATAGTAACATTCAATCTTTTGTATATCTGGTTAACGACGGTCTTTATAATTTTATATATCTTCATTTATGTTTATTTTCATGTGGGGTTGTCCCATTGATGGTTAGTTCCATAAGAAAACCAACTATCTGATTCTATAAAATAATTGTATGATCTAAAAGTACAATCTTGGCTCACAGGATTAAATTAAATAATCTCATCCACCCTGACAATGAGGCCTAAATGTTCCTTTTTATATAAGGGATAGATAACTTAGGGATAGATAACTTATTGGGCTGATATAATAAACATTCAATGAAGGCCCAATACACATACAAGAATACTAAGCCTAAATACAAAGCTAATAGTAATGGCCCAAATACATAGTTATTACGCTTCCGCATTAATTCGTCTAAAAAACATTGGGTTTCTTAAAATAATTTGAAAATAATATTATTATGTATTTATATACTAGTATAAATACACCCGTGTATAAATAATATTATTATGTATTTATATACTAGTATAAATAATATTATTATGTATTTATATACCAGTATAAATAATATTATTATGTATTTATACACCCGTGTATTACACGGGTGCTTGCTAATTTTTTTCTTAAAGTCTAAAATTAATGAGAAAAAGTAGTTGAAAATTTAAATACTTTTTACAAAAATATATATATTATTATATATTATCATAAAAACTTTTTATTTGTGCGACTTACCTGTGTTATATTATAATAATTTTTAACTTACAACATATAACTACATAAAAAATAAATATATCAATTGAAAAATAATTTTATTTTACTAATAAATTTTAATAAATATTATTATTTTTTATTATTATAAAGATAAATATAATTTATTTATTTCATATATACACAATATGGATGTCAAATCGAACATCATCAAAAGATGATTAATTTGATATATAATATATGTAAAACCGAAAATAAGTACAAAAGTTATCAACTTTTAAAATACATTGTTAATTGAAGGAAACAAATCAAAGTCAAGGATATATTAGTCACTTAGTGTCTCACTATGTAAAATTACAAATAATTAAAGGGTTATATTAGTACAAGTGATACTAAAATACCTAAGTTAGCTAAATAATAATTATGGAATATCCGAACCTAGATTATTAATTATTAATATACAATATTATTTTTCCAAACCTAATTACGAAACATGATTCTTTGCCAAGTAGGATTACGAAGCACCAGAAGCAGCCACGTAAGCTCAGCGCATTCTGGAATTATATATAGGGAGGATATTCGGAAAAATATGTACATATGCATTTAATAATATTGAGAAGTTACGATTAATTAGCCATGTACATACTTGGTGGTTTGGGTTCTGACTATGAATCAGTAGTTTTATTATGGAGCCATCGGATGGCTCGGTTTATGATGTTATCCACAGTTATGCACAAATAGTGTATTGACATGTATCCTACCATAAATACACTTTAGACAGGTATTAATACATTAAGTGATTGATGACTCCATAAGAAAATCATCCGATTGTTTGTCGTAAATCTCACTTTAGGATTGGATGTTAGGAATTATTTTATTTCCTATGTATAATCTAATTATGGGCAACATATTATAT